AATGTTATTATGACGGTAAAAGTAACCATAATATTTGTCTTAATGTGTAATGTTATGTCAAATTGTTTTAGATACACACCACGAAAACAACAGCCACACACATTATTTTCTTCATGTTTTGTCTACTGCTCTGCTCAGCTGCCAAGCTGGCATATCAGGTGACGTCACGGTTCGAGAGCCCAGAAATGATTAATATTGTATAGCAATGCTTGGTTCGGGGTCTCTTTTCTGCTTCCGGGCTGCTTGGGCAGCCTGGGGTTGGAAGATCTCTGGACTTGAAGTGTTAATTCTTGCCTGTGACTCTTTGAATAAACCAGCACGGTTATATTTTTTATATACTCAAGTGGTCTGAGTCGTCCCTCGGAGTTCCTGGTTTGAAAGAACCGGACGAGGCTTTATAATGGAATATAGCCTTTAATAGGAATGTTTAGTGTAGCCAGGGTGTCTAGCTCAGGCTGTTAAATGCTCAGTTCATTGTCAGGAGTTCTGCAGGCTGCATCTCGCTTTTCACCTCTAAAACATTCCTCACGAGCTCCTCCTTCAGGATCACTCCTACCCCATTTCTCTTCCTGTCCACACCATAATAAAACAGTTTGTATCTCCCTCCAATGCTACTGCGCTTTGCTACCCTTCCACCTGGTCTCCTGCACACACAGTATATCTACCTTCCTTCTCTCCATCATGTCCGCCAGCTCTCTACCTTTCCCTGTCATTGTGCCAACGTTAAGAGTCCCTATTCTCAGACCTATACTCCTGCCTTTCCTCTTCTCTCTCTGTCTGTGAATCCTTCTACCTCCTCTCCTTCTTCGATCAACAGTAGTTCAGTTTCCGCCAGCACCCTGTGGGTCAACAGCACTGGTGGCGGTCGTTGTTAACCTGGGCCTCGACCGATCTGGTATGGAATTTGCACTGATGAGTTCGCATGTTTAAATTTGGCATGTTTTTACACTGGATGCCCTTCCTGACGCAACTCTCTCTATTTATCCGGGCTTGGGACCGGCACAGAAGTCACTGGCTTGCAACCCCTGTGGCTAGATTAAGCTTTCGTGTTAATATAAATGCAAATTTAGTTCTTTTCATGTTAAGTCAACTCAGAATATCTACTTTTTATTTTCAAACCACTTTAGTCTGACTTGAGATGTTTAAACTTGAAATGATGAGTTGAACAAATGAAAAAGCGAGAATTCACTTGAGTCCTTAAATTAATTTTTATAGTATCTGTCTATGGATTGTAAGGCAGGAACCTATAGAGGCATAACGTGATTCATCAATTTCTGGCCCTACATGTTCCACCCCATCTTGCAGTCCAGAGACACACCCTTCTTCTTTTTTAGAGAAACAAAAGTAGTTTTTTTCATAACTTATGCAAACCATGGTGAAGGTTATTAAATTCATTCCTTACCCCCATGCTCTTAGAATTTACAGTCACTAGGAGCAATCTCACATCTAGTCTTTGTACCTACTTTGGTTCAAAATGGCTTCAGCAGCTGCAGCTTTAAGTTGTGTCAAATCAAGAGCTGATTCTTGAACCTGAGGAAAGTAAATCTGCCCATGTGACTAAACAGTTGAGTCTACTTAATGTCTTATGTTTACTGAACTTGTTTTCTTCTTTCTCCCTGTTTCACTCTGCTGACCTAAGTTTCCTCTTGCATGAGCACCGAAGTGAACAAGCTGGGGGACTTATAATTCCACACAGTGGGGAAGGGGAAGGTTACTCAAACGTGCGTGCATATATGAATGAACATCCACCAGTGTCATATGCAGATAAAGGCACTGCGTGTCCACACTTCAGAAGAATGTGAGGTGTAGTCACTGGGCTTGAAATAAAGCAGTGTGAAGATTGTTTATGGACCGCGCAAAGTAATTAATCTCCCTTTTCTATGAAAGAAAATCAGATTAAACATCGTAGCTCAGTGAATCTGTCTCTGTGTGTAATGTGTGGATGCTGAATCTGCAGCTACTTCTCTGTCCCATTTTGTATCCATAATGTCGGTCCTATAGGCCGGATTCGCTTGATTCACCTCAACAGTGGGCGGCATAATGACTCTGAGTGTAATCACATTCTCCTGCTTATCTAAATGTTCGTCTTTCACAGTGGGGAAAGAGCATTGGCCACCTTACTACTGCCATATTCTGACCTTAGATTTTGAGGCGCTGTTGATTTGAGTGTCATCTGTGAGCATCTTTGGCCGCGGGTAAAACACATGTTCACATGATAATTTGACCTTTTCAACAGTGTTCAGATGAAAATTCTGTACCCTGCTCTCTTCCCCACAGTGTAAAACCTAATTAGTTAGCTCAACTCAAACCATTTGAGTTAATTAACTCAATGTAAGCATAAAAATATTTCATTTGAGTACAAATAACTAATCTTTATTGTTAGGGAAACTTTAGTAAATTAAGTTAATAGACCTAATTTCATTCAGTTAATTTAACTTAACTCTGTCAAGTCTTTTGACTCATATAAAACAAAGTTCCCAACTTATTAAACATGAGTAAATCAAAGTTATCTAAATTAAGACTAACTCATATGCATCTTCTTTATACAAATATTACATTTCATTAACTTATTTTACTTTCATAAAGGAAAATTATTAGAATCAATTTTTAATAACTTTAATCTTAGTTGTGGTTACTTAAGTCATTTGAGGAAACCAACTGCCTTAAACCGCTTAAGTTGCAATAACACAAAACAGTACACTCATGTCAGACATGAACTCAAACAATTGAATTAATGCAAAGAGACAAATTTCAGTGTTCAAATGTTTTTGTTCACATCTCAATATTTAATCCTCCACTTTTCTTTGGTTTATCCTAAACCTAAGTTTTTACAAGACATATCACTTGAAAATAGAGATGTGACAGGTCAGCATTACACTGCCAGCGGCATAGGCACTGATCAGTCTATAAAACAAATACAACAGTAACTCAGATTGGTATAGAATCATATATCATCATGTATTATGACATTTTAACCACAAGCTTACAAATCTTAACTTTTAAACATGTTTAACATGTTTTCAACATTTAATGAAAAACAAAAAATACAAATTAATAACAACTAATCAGTACAATAAAATTATGAAATGCCTATAGTATTCCAAAGCTATTTCCTTTATGTTCCAAGAAACATGTCAAATTTTCCAAATCTAAGGGTACACTTCTCTAGTAAAAGGTCATAAAGCTATGTAATAAAATTTAAATTACACAAGACAATTATACTATGAAGAGTTCCTGAAGAAGGCACTTGAGATATGAAATCCCAAAGGCCACAGCATACTCAACAATATGAGTATGTGATAATACAGAAAGTATAAAAATAAAAACAAAGCAGAAATTGACTATGAAAGACTAGACGTCTTCTCACTGAGCGATCTGAGCATCACCCGTTTAAATACACAGGCTAGATATCAACCTAGTGGCCATAGTTTAATGTGTATGGGCAGGACTCTAAGTAAAATGCCCAGAACTTGCTCTTGTTTCCAATTTTTTTTTGCATCAAAACAAAAACATAAATTTTCATACACTGGCGAACAAAAAAACAACAACATGCTAACAAGGTTCATTCCAGTTCATTTCTCAAGGCCTGTAACTTTGGTTGGAGCTGCTTCCTACCATCATCAAGATTTAAGAGGACAACCTGTATGAACTCAAAGAAGCCACTTAGCTTCTCAGGGTAGCTCAAATGGAGAGCATAGATCAGTCCAAATAAAATGATCAGTGAATCTGACTGAGATCTGTGAGACATTACGACCTGATCCTCGAGGACGATTGACACATGGCAAGTTTCAAAGGAAATTCATGCAAGGACCTCCTTTTCACTGACTACTGCCACTAGAGCCACTGCTCCCTCTTGGGTTGCCTCCAACTCATCCTGAAAAGGTTACACATGTTCGAAATATGTGAGTGTAACTAAACAGATCAAGTTTATGAAAAGCCTAATAATGTTAAAAAAAGAAAAGGAAAAAAAAATAAACCCATCGCCAAGTAAGCTTAGAGTAAAAGATTATTCAGGTGAACTAATATCAGTTAGTCCTTGCACAGAATTGGGGAGTTATATTACAGGTTTTAACTTGTTGATATTTAGCTCAGAATATCTGATAAGATGACTGGTTTACAGATGAGGCCTCTTAGTTTTACAACCCTATGAACTTAATCAGGATATGCTGCTAATTTGCATATTTGGCAAGTTGCACATTCATTTATACTGAACCCATCAGTAAAATGTTCATAAACAATGCATTTGTGTTCTACCTATCTTCTTTAAGTACAATATTTCCCGTGAGATGTCCTAGATACATTACTACACGTTTTGGGGATGCGAACTTTTAGTTTTGATTTTTTTTTTTTTTTCACAACAGTGATTTCTTGTGGCAAAGCAGATGAAGACACTGAGTTTGGGAAAATGATAAGACACAAAAATACCTTGCAAGTTTTGAAGATTTCTGATGAATTCTCCTTCAAGTACAGCGGTAGGCCAGCCAGGGCTGCTGTTCTAGCTGCACTGATATTGTTTTTGTCCTGTTGCACAAAGACAAGGTATGTATAGGGGTGTGTTAAGGCCCACTGCTCACGTTCAGTATAAATGTAATGCATTAAACATAAATATACCTGCTCTTCATATGCCATCAGAAGTTCTCCCATCTTCTCACCCCAAATGCCAGTCTTCCAATTTTTATAGAGCTTTAGCAGCTGAGGTGTGTATTTGTCAAGAGCAGCAAAGAAGGAAAATGGTAGATTCTGACTGGTGATCCTGTGGAATTCACTGTAGAGCTGCATGAAAAATAAAAGCAATTTAAAAAAAGCAAAGGAATGTACTCTTGACAGATGTACCTTCAGTGAATTAAAAGAACTGAATGTACACATGCAATTACTGTACAGGCAAGGTAAAGGTGAAACTGTGGAATACTGGCCACGGCACAGTCTGTAATGTCTCAATAACTGTATTTTTAAATCACTAGAAAAACCACACAATTTACATTTCCACGTGATTTGTAACGTTACTCTCAGAACATCTGACCCATGAAGATAGGCGGAAAAATAACTTAATGGCACAAATCGAGCCAAGCCTCATTGTTAACTTTACCTTAATGCAATGTCTGGAAGCTGGTCAACATATTTCCACAGGTATTCTTTCGTTTAACTATGTTAAGTCCCTCTTTGGGCATTTTCGCATTGACATCAGATAAGCGAAAGGAAAAAGGCAGGCGACTCCAAGGTTCTGTTTAGGTTAGTTTGAAAATGCTACTGACTAAGCTTACTAGTGAAGCTACGGCTTTCAAAAACCAACATGACTCCGCAGCCAACGTGTTTCAGTAAAACAGTTTGGCAGCGACTGTTAAATAACTTTATAAATAGTTTCTGGAGCCACTAACCTTAGATGCTTGCACAACTGTGTAACAAGTTAACACTAACTGCTAACACAGCACGTCTCAGCTTTTATTAAAAGTGCTTAAACAGTATACAGAGAAGTAGTAAAATGACAGAAATACGTCACCTTTGAGTGGAAGACTGATGTATTGTCGCTTTGTCCTGAGCTGGCAAATATATAGTGCTGGCAACAAACCACTGCACAAAGTCCAAGTCTCCCCGTTGTTCCAGCACTATCAGGTTACGTACGGCTACGTGTTGAGCATCTCTGCTGTGCTCATCTAAGTTATTTTACAGCATGACAGTTATATAGCTGCTGCATTTAGGCGCTCAAAGTACAGAAAACGTAGAAGAAGTCAGGGAACGGAAATGGTTGAAATTTGGAGCCAGGCTCAAAGCTGTTATAATTTTTGTCCTGTGACTGGTATTAGGCCACTTTATTAAGCGTTGGCCTTTTATCAGGCGAGAAAGTAACCACTTAGAGTGAGGATAACTTAGTGGCTGTAACTTCTGCCAGCTTATTCTTGAAAAGAGTGAAAATATCTATCATGTGATGATATAGTGTAAGTCTTGTTTGTTCTACAGCCCAAAATCGGGATTATTTAAATCACTATTGGCCTAGTAACAAAAACAAGGCAAATTTAAGCAACAAAGTGTCACATTTGAGAAACAAAAATTGACTGCCATTTTGAATGAAATTAACAATTCATCTGTATCCTAAATAGTTGCCTAATGATTTTCTGGTGATAGACTAATCTATTCATCAACTATTTGGTTACTATAATCTTTATTACGCCGGATAACAAGATTGCGTTAATCAGACAGTGCCTGGGTTCATTTGGCTCCGCTGTCCAGTCAAGCCTCAGAAACCTTGGCGTTGTGTTTGACCAGTCTGTCTCTTGATTGCCACATAAGACAGGTGGTTAAGAATTGCTTTTATCACCTGAGGAACATCTCTAAATTAAGGAAAATGTTATCAAAGGTTGATTTGGAAATGATTGTTCATGCTTTTATTTCTTCACGTGTTGATTATTGTAATTCTCTTCTTATTTGCTGTAATAAGTCAGCCTTAAATCATCTTCAGATTGTGCAGAATGTTGCAGCAAGGCTTCGTATAGGAACCTCTAGAATAGCTCATATTACGCCTGTCTTATATTCACTTCACTGGTTACCAGTTAAGTTTAAGATTGATTTTAAAATTTTAGTGCTAACATTTAGAGCACTTCATGGTCAGGCTCCTCAGTATATTGCTGATCTATTGACCCCATACTCTCCTAAGCGTGTTCTTCGTTCCTCAAGTCAGGCCATCTTGATGGTTCCCAAAACCCGTCTGAAGACTAGGGGGCACCTGTCATTTCAGGTTGTGGCTCCTAGACTGTGGAATGCGTTGCCCCTGTCTTTACGCATGGCTGAATCTGTTGATGGTTTTAAGAAGCGGTTGAAGACGCACTTTTTTAGACAGGCCTTTAGTTGATTTTTAGTTTTAAATATGTTTATGTCTGTTATTTTATTTTTATGTTTTTATTTTTTTTATTTTTATGTTTTTTCAGTTAACTGCTCCGCCCCTCTCTTCACCCGAGTGTCCAAGACATACGGCCGGAGGTCAGATGAAACAACCATAAAGTCGATCACCGACCTCCGGCCTAGGGTGTCCTGGTCCTATGGTCATGAGCTTTGGGTCATGACCGAAAGGACAAGATCTCGGATATAGGCGCCCGAAATGAGCTTCCTCCGCAGGGTGGCCGGGCGCACCCTTACAAATAGGGTGAGGAGCTCAGTCACCCGGGAGGAGCTCAGAGTAGAACTGCTGCTCCTCCACATTGAGATTACCCAGCTGAGGTGGCTCGGGCATCTGTTTCGGATGCCTCCTGGGCGCCTTCCTAGGGAGTCATTTCATATTATTTGATTCACATTTATTTTATATCTCAAAATAATGATAACTGCAGGATAAGCATCAGAAATACTGCATATTTGATGCAATACTGATAATAGTCAACAAAAGCTGGCTCAGACATCACTGCACTATATTGAAGTCCAGTGAAATCTATGCCAATTTATGTTATTTTCACTTTATGTGATACGTTTGTACTGTTCCACTAGGAAAGAAAACATATGTTCTGGTGCACTGTTGCTTGATTGATGGCTGTTTGAGCATATCAGAGTAATTTGCTATGAATAAAATTAGGATATTTTGTTTTGTGCAAACATACAAATGCATGCTTCAGAATGTCCCTTCAAAGAACTATGCTCCAAGTAATTGTCAGGATCAGCATGTAAAGCTGCTGATAAAGTCAAGGGGTGGACTCGATTATAAGGCCAGATGAGGCTTAGGAGAACACTGTCTCTTTAATAAGAGCACTGGTAACAAACAACGATAACACAAAGCAGAAATTTGTTTCAGCAAGTAACACTCTCAGGTCAATAATACAGTCCAGGGTCAGAGCCAGCAAACTTACACAGCCGAGGGATCTACAAATGAGAGGTCAGAGAGGGGAGTCCGATAGTCAATACACAGAAAACACAAGCGGAATCAGAGGGGTTAGGCAATACTTGGTGATCACAACGTAATCCGTGGTCAGAGCTGGAATAAACAGGTACAGAAAAACCACTGGAAAGTGAACAGCAGTTAGAACGATCTGGCAGCTTCTTGGTGTGGGGAAGCTGCATATATGCTGTTGTAAGCAGGTGTGAGTAATGAAAAGCAGGTGAAACAGGTGATGAGATAAAGTTCCTGGGAGTCAGGGTGAGCTGGGGACAGGAAGTAGTGTCAAAATAAATGCATGAGACCAGAAGCAGTGGGACAGAATAATGACAGAAATACTGTGGACTTTACATACATATTTTCCCACATGCTGTGAATGGAAGGAAGGAAGTTAATTGGTTGGTAGTAAACACTCCTTGCAAAGCTTGCTCAGTAATAAACAGTGTTAATCCACATTGGACTGAAATCACAGAGAAGCTCTTGTATAACCTCCATTACCAGCCCTTGTTTAGTCATGCCATCTGCACTGGGCTAATGTCTGCATAAACATTATACAAATCATGTTTACTTTCACATCTTACTGTCAGACTGTGAGTGCATCAATTTTTAGACTGGCAGAGCAAAGTGAAAATAAATTGCATTTTTCTGATTTATTCTGGTTATTGTTCCTTCCCCAGGCGCCTGCAGCTGACACACTACCAACCATCAGGCAGAATGTCGTATGGGTCTATTGACGGAGGCTCCTTTGGCAGTCATAACCCGTTTGGAGGTCCTGGAAGGCAGGGCTACCAGCCAGTAGGTAAGGACCAATACTGACTTTTTACCGGTTACAAGAAAATATCAGTTCATGCTACATTTTACAACAATTCAAGGTTATTACGTCAAATTTGGGATACCGGCATAATTAGCAATATTATAGAATAATGATTATTTAATAACAAGTAAGGCAATTGCTAAATTATTTATTTATTCCCCACCATTTCACGAAATCTAAACATCAAGTTACCTGTGGCTACTACTTCAGCAATGACAGCTGCACATTCTTTCCAACAGTGAGCGGTTGCCACCGTCCTGTAGTGTGACTTGGTGGCAGTATAACAGTTCTGTAGATCACAAAATGCTCATATCCACCCAATATAATCCAACACATTCTCATTCCGAGGGTGTCAAATACTGATGTTTTGTCAATTACCTTTTGTGTCTCATACCAATGCTAAAGGGTGCCTTTAGCAACCATATAAGACACTCTGGGTTTTTATTAAAGAACAGCATTAACCCACTTTTGTCTGTACACAAAAACTACATGGTTATGTTTATTCATATGTACATTGGGTTTAGTAAAATACTGTGGCTTGGGTTTAAACTATTCATTGATCAAAAACATTTCATTACACACCGGAGGCAAACTCCATTTTCCCATAGAAAAATTAGGTGTTTGTTTAAGCCACCATCCCCCCAGCCACGTTCCAGTGTTGGACTTTTTCATTCATTCTCACTTACTACTGTAAGTGAGAATGAATCGTTGCAAGCGAGAGCGGACGTTTTTTCTGCTCCTCTTGTCTGTTCTGGGATTTCATATCTGTTTCATATCTTCTACACCTTCAAGTTTTTGGAAAAGTCTACATCTTTTGACATGGCTCCTAAAGGGAAAAGAGCAAATAAATCTGAAGCCGCTGAGGATGTCGAAGCTGAAGAGAATTTTGCAGCAAACTTGCTGGAGCAGAAACGAATGTACACTGCGCTGCTTAATCAGCTCAGCGAAAGCTTCAAAGGATTTGTGCAAATAATTATGGAGACGAACAACAAGAGATTCGACGACATGACCAGGGAGATACAGGAAATAAAATCGAGTCTGCAGTTTACCCAGCGAGAGGTCGATGCGATTAAAGTTAACATGGGTGAGCAGTCAACCCAAATTAAAGGTACTAGAGATGGAGTGTATAAAACCTGTGAGTACCTGAAAGTCATTTCGGATAAAGTGGAATACTTGGAAGCACAAACCAAGCGAAAAAACTTGATATTTGCTGGAATCCAGGAGTCAGTGGGAGAGACCTGGACGGATGCGGAGGGTAAAGTTAAGGAGGTTCTAAAGAACAAGCTGGAGATACAGCAGGAAATTC